CTCGGCCTCCCAAAGGTGCTTTTTTTTGGGATTACAGGCTTGAGCCCACCTGGTGCCCGGCCCTTGTCTTTTTTCATTAGGGATTCTCTCCACAAGGTACAGTGGAGTTTTCCAGGGTCATGTGACTTGTGGTATCCAATCAGAATGACTTCAGAACAGATCTGAGAATCCAGCTGTTTCTTCATGCAACCAGACACTAAGGGATCTTCAAAAATGTTAAAATTTTTTGAATTATATTTTACATTTAAAAAATCTTCAAAAATGTACTTTTGAGACAGAGTCTCGCTCTGTCGCCCAGGCTGGAGTGCAGTGGTGCCATCTTGGCTCACTACAAGCTCCACCTCCTGGGTTCACACCATTCTCCCTGCCTCAGCCTCCGGAGTAGCTGGGACTACAGGCGCCCGCCACAACACCCAGCTAATTTTTTGTACTTTTAGTAGAGACGGGGTTTCACCATGTTAGTCAGGATGGTCTCGATCTCCTGACCTCGTGATCCACCCAACCGCGCCTGGCCAAAAAAACCCAAATATTTAAGGAAGGAGCCACTCCAGCAGATTTAGTCAAAGTTCAGAATGCTGCATCCTGTGACTAGGAAGGCTGGAGAAGACAGCAATACACTTCGAGCACAGCTTCCTCTGCTTTAAGGAGAGTGCTGCTTAATGGCACCAACACCATTTGTAACTGCTCTCAGCTGTTAGTTTCCCCTTTTTGGTGTACAGCTCAAATGCTCCAAATGCTCAGTGAAAGCAAATATGCAAAACCTCCCCAAAATACCATGGCCCACTAGGGGTTCAGTGGCCTTCCCATGTGTTCTGGCCTAGATGTGGCAAGTCCACGAAGATCTACCTGATGTCAAACTGTTTCTTTTTTCTTTTTTTGAGACAGAGTCTTGCTCTGTCACCCAGGCTGGACTACAGTGGTGTGATCTCGGCTCACTGCATCTCCTGAGTTCAAGCGATTATCTTGCCTCAGCTTCCTGAGTAGCTGGGATTACAGGCATGCACCACTATGCCCAGTTAATTTTTGTATTTTTAGTAGAGATGGGGGTTTCACTAGGTTGGTCAGGCTGGTCTCGAACTCCTGACCTCGTGATCTGCCCGTCTCAGCCTCCCAAAGTGCTGGGATTACAGTCGTGAGCCACTGCGCACGGCCCAAGCTGTTTCTTTTCACTCTAAACTTTGGACAGGAATGCAAGATGAACTTGACCAAGTGACTGGGGAGCACCGAGAACTACTGAATCAAATGAAGGGTGCTCAAAGCCATTCAGTCTGTGATAATTCAGAATGTTAACCCGTGTTTGGTCAGGAAACACTATGGCAACTTTCCAAATTGGCAAATTTCCAAAGGAGCATCAAGAGAGTATCTTCAGATTGCAGTTTAAAAAAAAAAATCAAAACTCAGAAGGATTAGCTAGTAGCCCCAAAAGATCAAAGAATATAGAAAATGCCCTGCAGAAAATGTTTCTGAAAAGCATCTTCCACTTAAAATCGTATTCATTGTGACATCAACAAAGGATGACAGCACATGGGAATGGCAACATCCTAGAAAAACAGGCCAGCTGCGTTGGCTCACGCCTATGATCCCAGCATTCTGGGAGGCCGAGGTGGGCAGATCATGAGGTTAGGAGACTGAGACCACCCTGGCCAACATGGTGAAACCCCGTCGCTACTAAAATGCAAAAAAATTAGCCAGGCATGGTGGCTCTCGCTTGTAGTCCCAGCTACTCGAGAGGATGAGGCAGGAGAATCGCTTGAACCTGGGAGGCAGAGGTTGCAAGGAGCTATTGCGCCACTGCACTCCAGCCTGGTGACAGAGCAAGACTCTCAAAACAACAACAAAACAAAACAAAACAAACAAACAAAAACAAGTGTCAGTGAGTTCTGGAGTTGCTTCAAGTGGCTTCAATATATTTTGTAAAATTCTGAATTATGTCCCAGTCTCCACATACAGTGTGAAGTTACAATATTTTCCAATCAATGCTGAATGACATACTTTATGATTCTCGATTACTTTATGATTACCTTTTTTCTTATTTTTTGAGAAACATGGCTGGGCATGGTGGTTCATGCCTGTAGTCTCAGCACTTTGGGAGGCCAAGGGCTCCCAAGCAGATTGCTTGAGCCCAGGAGTTTGAGACCGGCCTGGGCAACACAGTGAAATCCCTGTCTCTACTAAAAATACAAAAAATTAGCCGGTGTGGTGGTGGCATGAGCCTGTAGTCCCAGCTATGCAGGAGGTTGTGGTGGGAGCATCACCTGAGCACCCGAAGTTAAGGCTGCAGTGAGCCCTGATTGCAGCACTGCACTCCAGCCTGGGCGACAGGAGTGAGACCCTGCCTCAAAAGAAAGAAAGAAAAAAAAAAAAAAGCAAGTTATTTCTTCCTGGCAAAGTGTGTTGAGGCACTTTTTGGAAGCTGTCGTATTTGGCAAAGTCCTAACATGAGGTCCAGAGCTCATTAGGCCAGGATTTGGAGCCAGAACTCCTGGCTTAGTATGATTATGGGTTCAATTTTTGAGACACCAATAGCTCAACCTACCTGGCTGACTTCTGTCTACCCTGTTCTCAAACCGCCCTCTTATTTGGCACTGCTCGGGCTTCACACTGCTGATTAGAGCCATGCTCTCGATACCATCTCTCTATTTGTTCACGTGGCTCTTTCCTGAGAGCCCACATGGGTCAGACAGATCCTGCCCTGGGCAATGAGGGAAACATACCCCGGCCAGGTGGCCATGTCTCTCTTCTGACCCTCCCTTCTCTTGCACATGTGGCTGCCTTCCTGGGCATCCTTTGCTGGATTTCTTGCCTCTGCTCCGTCTTTTGGGGAGTTTGCTAGGGCTCTGTTCTCCACCCTCCGCCTTCTAGAGATGGGCCAGGACCACCTCAGCCTGTATCTTTTGTCCATGTGATCACCTGGACCTCCTGTCCGCACCTGTTTGTGTCCAGCTGTGAGTCTGACACCGCCACCTGAGACACAGGTTTAGGAAGGAAGATGAATTCAGTTAAGATTCGGCTCCAAAGAACTTCTCCCAGATCCTCCCCTATAATCCTGGGTCCTCCTTTGCCCGGCTCATTAGCCGGTATCCTGCAGGGGTCCGCCTGGCGTTATTTTCTCCAAGACCTTCCTGACCTTCTTCTTGCCCCTCTCCCCCTATATTAGGTGCAAAGATGTCCTGGTACCTCCGACCCATGAACGCAAATCCCTTCTCTGGTTTGCCTTCCGTCTCCTCACCCTGAGGTGCTCAAGAAACGCGTGAAGGGCCCCGGTATGCTCGAAGCGCACAAACCTCCGAGGTAGCAGCCTCTAAACGGGGAGGCCAGGGAGTGACCGGAGGCCATTTTCTTGTATACGCAGGGGTTGCCCCGGAACTCCCGTCAAACAGACTCCTGGGCCAACCTCCGGCCTTTGTCAAGCTTCCCCTGTGCCCCTAGAAAGGCTCAGCCTGGGTTCGCGCCGGGCGGCGGCTCCCAGCAGGCCTAGCGCGGCGGGGCGGGGCCGGCGGCACGAGGACGAAGCAGCGCGGGCAGCACGCGCCGGGCCGGAGCCCGCCCACAACGGCGAGCGGCGCGTTCTGATTGGAAGGCCTCGAGCGGGGGCGGGGCTTCCAGAGCGCGTTTCCGCCGTGGCCTGTTCCCGCCCCGGAGACCCGGCAGTTGAGGGACGCCGACGCCTGGGCCTTGAGGATGCTGCGCAAGCTCACCCTCGAGCAGATCAACGACTGGTTCACCATCGGCAAGACCGTGACCAATGTGGAGCTGCTGGGCGCGCCGCCCGCCTTCCCGGCCGGGGCGGCCAGGGAGGAGGCTCAGCGCCAGGACGTGGCCCCCGGCGCCGGTCCCGCGGCCCAGGCTGCGGCCCTGGCCCAAGCTCCGGCCCAGCAGGCCGCTGCGTTCGAAAGGTAGGACGCGGGCGGGGCGGAGGCGGCTCGAGGGCGGCCGGGCGAGACCTGGCGACGAGGGCTCGGGCCACCCAGATCCTTCTCGCGAGCCCGTGCCCTCTCGTGGGGCTCCAGGGACCCCTGACCGTCCGGGGCGAGGGATCACTACACAACCCGACGCGCGGCCCAGAGCGGTGCCTGCAAGGAAGCTGAGCTAGAGTTTTTGTTGTTGTTGTTTTCCTTCAGTTCTTAATGTTTAAATTAACAGACCAGTTTTTGAGGCACCCTTAGGTTTCCAGAAGAAGGCAGCGGAGGGCAGAGGTCCCACAGGTCCCTTCCCTCCCACAGTTTCCCCTCTGAGCGTCTGTGTCAAGTGTGGGTTTTCGTGACAGCCGGAGAACCCGCGTCGCTGCGTCTTCGTCACCCGGAGGCCATCGTTACAGGAGGGTTCACCCCGGTGCTGGACGTTCTGTGGGTTTGGACGAACGCCTAAAGTCACGCATTACAGAGGAGTTCACTGCCTTACAGATCTTCTCGGCCCCACCTGCTCATGCCTCCCTTTCCCTACACCACGTGGAAACCACTGATTTTTTACTGTCTCCATAATTTTGCTTTTCCATACTGTCATCTAGTTGGAATCACACAATATGGGTAGCCTTTTTGATGGGTTTCTGTCACTTAGTATTATTATGCATTTGGGGTTCCTCTGTGCCTTTCCATGATTTGATAGCTGCTTTCCTTTTAGCACTGATTAATATTCCACTGTCTGGATGTACCACAGTGTATCCATTCACCTACTGAAGGAGAGCTTGGTTGCTTCCAAGTTCACTCCCCGCCCCCCCCCCCGTCCCCGCCACCGCGAGATGGAGTCTCACTTTGTCGCCCAGGCTGGAGTGGACTGGTGGAGTGGCGCGGTCTGAGCTCACTGCAATTTCCCCCTCCCAGGTTCAAGCGATTGTCTTGCCTCAGCCTCCTGAGTAGCTGAGACTACAGGCATGTGCCACTACGCCTGGCTAATTTTTGTATTTTTAATAAAGACAGGGTTTCACCGTGTTGGCCAGGCTAGTCTCGAACTCCTGACCTCAGGTGATCTGCCCACCTCAGCCTCCCAAAGTGCTGGGATTACAGGTGTGAGCCACTGCACCTGGCCTGTTTCCAAGTTTTGGCACTTTTTTTTTTCCTTTTTGGGAGACGGAGTCTCACTCTGTTGTCCAGGCTGCAGTGCAGTGGCGAGATCTCGGCTCACTGCAAGCTCCGCCTCCCGGGTTCACGCCATTCTCCTGCCTCAGCCTCCCAAGTAGCTGGGACTACAGGCGCCCGCCACCACACCCAGCTAGTTTTTCGTATTTTTTAGTAGAGACGGGGTTTCACCGTGTTAGCCAGGATGGTCTCCATCTCCTGACCTCGTGATCTGCCCGCCTCGGCCTCCCAAAGTGCTGGGATTACAGACGTGAGCCACCGTGCCCGGCCTATTTTGTATTTTTAGTAGAGACAGCGTTTCACTGTGTTGACCAGGCTGATCTTGAACTCCTGACCTTGCGATCCACCCATGTCGGCCTCCCAAAGTGCTGGGATTCCAGGTGTGAGCCACTGTGCCTGGCTTTTTCTTTTTTAAAGTTACTCTTGTTTGTTAGTTTTGTCTGATTTGATGGATAGGCCCAGACTCTGGGTCAAGCTTTTGTGGGTTGCTTCAAGCCTTTGTAGAGTTCTTTCAAGTACACCTTTGGGATCTTTGGTAAATTTGGTTCTTGGAGGTGCAGAGAGGACCAAGAGACCCCTTGTGCAACTTTGGAGTGGCTGTGTGTTTGACACTATTTCCTTGAGCTGCTCTGGTAAATGATCCCGTAGGCCGCCTCCTCTACTTAATGGTCCATCACTTACTCCTTAGTCTTAACAGTCTTAACAGCATTGCTATTAAATAACTCATTGTGATATTGGAAGTAAATTATTACTGACCTTGTCAGAAACTATAGATGTATTCAGCACTAAGGACAAGTTTTTACGATTTCTAGCCTTCATGAGCTAAGACTTTTATAAAATCAATAAAAATGAATTTTTAGAGCAATGAAATGAAAAAAGCATACTAATCCCATTTAAAAAAATTACTAGATTCAGTCTGGGTGTGGTGGCTCATGTCTGTAATCCCAGCACTTTGGGAGTCCAAGGCAGGCAGATCATTTGAGGTCAGGAGTTCCAAGACCAGCCTGGCCAACATGGTGAAACCCTGTCTCTACCAAAAGAATGCAAAAATTTCCCGGGCATGGTGGTTTGTGCCTGCAGTCCCAGCTACTCAGGAGGCTGAGGTGGGAGAATCGCTTGAGTCCCTGAGGCAGAGGTTGCAGTGAGCTGAGATTGTGCCACTGCACTCCAGCCTGGGTAACAGAATGAGACCCTGTCTCAAAAAAAAAAAAAATTCAACATATGTAAAATTACTTCGTGAAATTGCTGTAAACACTTTAACTTCTGTATTTAACTACTGACAGGCAATGTTTGTCTATGGGTAGTGCTAGCTTTGATGAAATTCTTCTGGAAGTAGCTTCCTGGGCTCTAGGTGCATATGTATTCGATGCCAGAGTTTCCAGCATGTAGCAGGCACTCAGCTAAATACAGCTGTATTATTGAATCTGCACAACAACGCTTTGAGGTTGATGGCTTTATCATCAACTGATTATTTCATGATTTTGTAGATGAAGCAATAGGTTTTGGTGGTAAAGTGACTTGTCCAACTTCCTGTAGCAAATGGTGGTGATGGGCAGAATGACTCCCCCAAAGATGTTCACTGGAACCTGTAACTATGTAATGTTACCTGGTGAAAGAGATTTCGCAGCTGTAATTAAGGTTACAGATCATAGGATAGGAAGATTAGCTAGATTGTCTGAGTGGGCCCAGTCTGATCACATGAGCCCTTAAAAGCAGATGACTTTCTCAGGACGGAGTCAGATAAATTTGAAACGAGAGATTTGAAACGTCACTGCTTGGAGGGGCCATGTCAAAAGCATGAGAATCGAATATGGGTAGCTAGGAGCAAAGACTGGATCCCACTTGACAGCAGGTAAGGAAACGGGTACCTCAGTCCTACAGTTGCAAGGGACTGAGTTTGCAAGGGACTGATCCTACAATTGCAAGGGCCTGGTTTTGACCAACAGCCTGAATGCACTGCCAGTAGGGAAGGCAACTCTGCCAACACCTTGATTTAGCTTTAGGAAACCCTAAGCAGGGGATCCAGTTGAGTTCACCTGGACTTGTAATACGTTTGCATTGTTTGAAACTGCTATGTTTGTGTGATTTGTTGAGGCAGCACTGCATTATAGTACAAATCTGGTGGCAGAGCTGGGTTCAGATTGGGGTGAGCTGACTTGTGAACCTGGCACAGTGCCTGGCACATAGTGGATACTTGGATACTTGTTGAATGATATTTTTCCCAGTGAAGGTGAGTGTTGAGTGAGGCACTGACATTAGTGAGAGAACATTTGACATAGGGGAGGGATGGCTTTTATAAGCATAGGGTATTGCACAGTTAAAATGTATTTGTTAGAGATAGTCACTCAATGGTAAAATTAGTGTACACCAAGTCACTGCAGTCCAGTCTGGGAGAGTGTTGCTAAATCAGCTTAATGATTAAATCAGCTTAAATCAGCAGAAGAACATGGGCATTTTTTTTTTTTTAAATCAACTGAATGAGTAGTGACCACCAGCTTTAAAAAAGAAATAGAGAATGCCAGACTACATCATAGGTAGCTCAGACAAGAATTGCCGGAGATGGTGTGGGCGCCTGTGGGTCCCAGCATGAATCTTACTGTGTTGATGAAAGTGTTGCTGGAGTGCCTGTAGGGAACGGTTTATTAATTTTGTTTCCAGTGATTTTTATGGATTTCCCCATGTCTCCTTTTCCACATGGTACTGTATTTTCCTCTTTGATGGTGATTATTCTTTCTGTTATCCTTACATTCTCGTGTCTTCACCTTCACATATGAAAAAGAAAACCTCAGTGGCTGTGATATACCATTTTGAGCATCCTCCAGTGTGTACCACCAGCTTTCCTGTGAATTGCAGCCCATGGCTGGGAGCCATGCATCACTCCCAGCTTCCTTCTGCCTTGTGTTTCTTTGTGCTTTCTGCCATGGACTTTCTGTCTTCACAGCTCACATTAACTCCTGGCTCATGAAGGTCTTACTTAATTCTCACTTTTGTGTCTTTGACTGTTCAACACCTTATTAAAATGTTCTTTGCCTTTGGGAAGCCTTAACCATAGAAAGCTTTCAGATTTCTACTATCTGGTGATTATTTTCATCTAGCTCCTTTATTTATTTATTTATTTGTTTGAGACAGAGTCTCGCTCTGTCACCCAGGTTGAAGTGCAGTGGTACGATCTCGGCTCACTCAAGCTCCGCCTCCCGGGTTCATGCCATTCTCCTGCCTCAGCCTCCCGTGTGTAGCTGGGACTTGTAGTCCGCCACCACACCTGGCTAAGTTTTTGTATTTTTAGTAGAGACGGGGTTTCACCATGTTAGCCAAGATGATCTCGATCTCCTGACCTCGTGATCCGCCCACCTCGGCCTCCCAAAGTGCTGGGATTACAGGCGTGAGCCACCGCGCCCGGGAGAACTTCCTGCCTAACACGGTGAAACCCCGTCTCTCTACAAAAAAAAATAATACAAAAAAATTAGCCGGCAAGGTGGCGGCGCCTGTTATCCAGCTCTCGGGAGGTGAGGCAGGGAGAAATGGTGCAAACCCGGAGGGGGACGCTTGCAGTGAGCTGAGATCCGGCACATGGCGCTCCCAGCACTTGGGCGCGACAAGAGCGAATACTCCGCTCAAAAAAGATAAAAAAAAAAATGTGGACTTTGGCACAGGCAGTGGCTCATTCCTATAATCGCAGCCATCTTGGAGGCAAGGACAGGGGAATTGCTTGAGCCCAGGAGTTTGACACCAGCATAGAGCACACAGTGAGAC